TCAGCAGGAAGCCTGCTTCTCCCTCTCCCACTCCCCCTGCTTGTGTTCCCTCTCTCACTGTCTCTCTATCAAATAAATAATAAAATAAAAAATCTTTAAAAAAAATAAAAAATAAAGATTCTGAACACAATAAAACCTAAAAAAAAAAAAAGAATTGACAGGGAGTGTCACAGAGAATTGGCACTCAGAAATACAAACACCACAATGAAATTGCATTTTACATTATTAAGTTGGAAAAAACGTTTAAAGTTTAACCATAAGTTAATTTAGAAACTAATTTAGGATTCCCTAGTAAAGTCGAGAATATGTAAGCCCCGGGTCAAGAATATGTAAGTCCCATGTACCAGAACTCCTAACATGTGCACAAGGAAGGAAGTTCATGAATTTTTGTAATGACATCATTCATAATGAAAAAATAAATGTCCATCAAAAGTCAAATGAATAAGAAAATCATGGTAGATTTTTATAAGGAGATGCTGCATAACAATGAGGATGAGTGAACCAATGCTACAATACATCGTGATGGCTGAAGCTAAAAACTGTAACATTGAATGACAGAAGTAAGTCTCAGAAGAATGCATACAGTGTGATTCCATTTATGTAAAATTTAAAATCAGGAAAAACTAGAATTTTTTATCTACTAATAAATACTTGGGTGGGAAAAACCATCAAAAAAAGAAAGGGAATGATTAACACAAAATTCCATTTCTAGATAGCTGGAGGGGAGGGCAGAAAGAGGATGTAAGCCCAGGAGGTTTCTGGGTTATTTCTTGGCAATACCCATTTCCTGGCCTGGAAGGTGTTTTCACAGTTAACTAATTTTAACTTTTTAAACCTGTATATACACTTTCATAGACATATACATTTTATGTACCTTAAATGCATACTCTGTTTAACATTTTTTAAAGACGTTATTTATTTATTTATTTGAGAGAGCTCAAGAGAGAACGTGATTGGGGGGAGGGGCAGAGAGAGAGGGAAAAGCAGACTCCCCACTGAGCCGGGAACCCAATGGAGGGCTCCATTCCAGGACCCTGGGGTCATGACCTGAGCTAAGGCAGATGTTTAACCAAATGAGCCACCCACGTGCATCTCTGTTCAACATTTTTTTAGGAAAAGCATAGCCTTTCATTGAGACAGATTAACATGTGGCATGATGAAGTATAAGAATGGAAATACATTTGATCTAAATGCCAGGAACACTTGCCTTCAGAGTTAGTGATGTTCCCTTCTGTACATATCCAGTCTTACTACTTTGTTCTTTAGTGACTAATATTTAATCATTATAATACTATAAATCCAATTATTGGTTTGTAATTTTTCTAATGGGCCTACAGGTGATTCCAAAAATTAAATTACTAATTAAATTAATATTAATGAGGATGACTCATTACTGAACAGAATATAAATTACTGAATAGAATATAATAATTACTGAACAGAATATAAATATCTTAAATCTTGGCTATGTAGAAGGAAAGGTTTAGCTGTGCAGAGTTGTGTGCGGTGCAGGGAGAGAAGAATAAATGAGTGAATTTCCTCATTTCACATAGTAGAAAGGAAAAGATACTGTCAGCAGTTGATTAATCAAGAAATAGAAGGTTAAACTTAAAGTTCTAAATACCCACTAGAGGCATTAAAAGTAAGAATTGTAAGCAGAGGTGGTAGTATCTTAAGTACCTTATCTCTCGCCTTTTATATCAGAAATCAATACACATTGTCCAAAGCTGATATGTCTAGAAACAAATATATCGCTTAGCATAGTGGTTGAAGGGCTAACAGAACTAAAAACAAAAGAAGCCAAGTCGTTAACCGTGAACATGGGTTACTTTTGTTATAAAGAAAGTGAATCGTTGAACACTACATCAAAAACTAATGATGTACTATATGCTGGCTAATTGAACATAATATAAATAAAAATAAATAAATATTAAAAAAAAAAGTCCTGGTATAGCAAAACTTTCCTCTGCAGCAGAATAGAGCCTAACGCAGGTGTATTTTGTCCCTTTTCAACGGTCTTTAGTCCACCTCGTAGCCCTGTTGATGGAGAGTGCCTACTCCAGCAGTGCAGTCACGTTATGGGTTTAAAGGGCATGAATTAGGTATTATTTATCTTTATGCTTACCAGAGTGCCCAATGCATGAGTCCTCAGTGCATTGATTGGATGAAAAATGTAGCTGCTGCAATTTTTTAAGTGGCCTATCGGGGCCATCAAGCTGTTTCCTACCTCAGATCGTGTATTCATCTCAGTGGTGAGTGCCCCTTTCTCCTCTTCTCCCACTGTAGCCAGGATTCTATATTCCTGGCAGGTCATGAGACAGAAGACATATACTGAGCATGGAGTATGTGTTAGGTGCGGTGGAAGGCTCAAGGAGACAAATACGGAGCATCAAATTGAAAGTATGCTTGTAGTATACATGTATACGAACCTAGGCATTTACGTGTGTGTGGAGATATATATATATCCTGTGGCTCATTTTTTTGCCCTCTTCCTCTCTGTAATTATATTTCCACATGCAAAATGGCCACACTGCTCCTGAGCCATTCTTTTATGTCCAGTTTCTTAATGATCAATGCAGGTTTCTTCCAAAGAGACCAGTGTGGTATCTATCATGAAAACAGCTGAAATAACCAGGGTGACCCAACACAGTCTTCTTTGTTGGCTGCAGGGAAACATCTCCTGAGCACCCAACTAAGAATTTTTTTGTTGGGAATTCTCTAGTATACATTTATTATTTCCCCTTGTGTCCTGATAAAGAGACTATGATTCTTAATGGCTGATGCACTTGAACATTTCAAGTGAACCTCAGAAATTGCATCACCTAAAATTTCAAGATGTTGGGGAGAATTTTGCGTTTTATTCTTTCTGAACGACAGGCACAGCTTTAATCCCTGTCTCCGTTCTGAGCTTACTCTTCCCCAAAAATGTTAATTCATTATCAGCACTGAAGTTGCTGTAAATGCCCCGTTTGGCCCCGTTGTGTCCTTCTTGTTCTGTTTTCCCTGCTGCCACAACGTAAGTGCTGCTAAGAGCAGAGGTAGCTCTTAATCAGCTGTAGCTTTTTCCCTGCGCTGATCCAGCCCACAGTTCCTACAGCCCCCAGAGCCCAGGTGCAGTAAGGCCTGGGCCCTCTCATCCTACAGGTTACTTGGCAGCATTGCTGATCAAGATAAAACATAGTTTTTCAGACATCCAAATAATTGTCTCTGTTTGTATTATTGATTTCCTGTGTCTTCGACAGAAGTTGTTTAGAACTGTTTACCATTGCCTACTGCTACGGAACTTGCTGTTTTACATTCTTGATTATGATTGTGTGTGGGGTTATTACCGGTGGCTATAGACTTGGGAAAGTAACCAGTTGTTCCAAATTCAAGGAAAAAATATCAATATGGTTGAGAAATTAAACCTCCATTTAGGTTTGTCTTACATAATGCAGGTGTTACAGCTCTTATTTGGGGATTCTGGCAGCAATCATGGTTACTTAGCGGAAAAATGATTCTGGAAAGTACTAAATTAGGTTATTTTCCAGCACTAAAGCCAGCCGATGAGGCCTTACATATCTCCTACATAAATGTACCCCAGACTGGCCTGGAAGACAAAAATAGAGCATAAAAGTATGAGCTTTAAAGCAAATTTGCGAATTTGCTGCCTCTACTTTTATTTCAGGATGGTTTCATCTGTACTGGGGCTTCATCTCATCAGTGTTTGTGATCAAGGCTCTTAAATCAGTTTTGTGGCTTTTTAACAACATGACTATCCCTCGAGGTTTTTCTGGCACTGTGTAGACATATTAACACTGAGTTATATCTGAGATAGATGTGTGAACTATGTAAGTAGCTGTGCCTTCTTTTCCTCACAACTGTTTAATTTCCTAAAAGAAAAAGAGGAGAAATTGTAAAGTTTCCTCTGGAGTTCAGTTTGGATGATGTCTTTGGGATGTGCTCATCACATAATTTAGGGGATCATTCCTGAGACGAGGTGACCACAAAGCTAATGTCAGAGGGGGCTCGTACAGTGCCATAGACCTGAGGTTCTACGAGATGTTCAGGCCTGACTTGAAAGAACAAAGCAAAGCAAGTTGCTACCATCAGGCCCATTTCTTACAACCCACAGCCTTCTCTGGGGTTTACTCAACTCTTGGCACCACACAACCATCATAACCATAGCGGACTCACACTTGCTGTCTTGACCCTTCTCCTTCCATCCCCTAGCCTCAAGGAAATAAAAAGAAGCACCTTACAAAATGAGGATGCATGGCTCAAACCCTCAGTGGTCAAGGTTCTAAGAATTACATTATGTGTATTGTTAAAAGAATTTGCCCTTTAAAAACTATAAAAAGGGAACTAGTTCCAGGCTCCCTTAATTAAAACCCATTAAGCCTTCAGTGACCGCAGACCGCAGAGACATTTCTGTAGCTAGACTTTCAGATGGTCTGGAAGGATTTCTGGCTTACATCTTTTTCTGCATTAAAGCAGGGTTCCCAAAAGGTGCTGCCAGGGCTCTCAGCAGGGTAGAAATTTGGGGGATCTTGTGAGCTGCAGTGCAACCTTAGTGTTCTGTAAAATTCTCTCCTCCAAGTTCTTACGCAGCCTGTCCTGGCTTGGCTTGTGTTAGCAGAAGGGATCAAAGTTCAAAATGCCTTGCCTGTAGAATGCTAATGGAGTTTATTTCCTTAAATTTTTTCTGTAAAATGAAGTGGAAGGAAACAGGTTCCATCTGCAAGATATTCATCTTTTGGCAAGGTCTCCACTCTGAACCTCTGGTTGTTTGCAAACAGCTCCTTAGTACCTACTCACAGATCCGTGCCTGGGCAATTGTAATACAGAGAAGAAATTACTTGCAAATCCGGTTCTCAGACAATAAAAAGATGTTTTAAAAGCCTCCTCCTGCACATTTTGAAAGATTTTTAATAGGAGCATGGAAATATATTTAATCTCTCTTAAATCTTAAAGACCGTAACACTCACATGTTGTTACTTTTTTTTCTGCTTCCTTTGTAAGAGAAAGGTGATGCTGAGCCAGAGAGTCCAGACAATGGCACATCGAATACCTCGTAAGTCGCTTTCCTGTTTCTATCCAGATAATATGCCTGTAATATGAAACAGTGCAAGTATCTTGTAAGAGTAACCATAATAATGGAAGGAAACCTGTGGTTCTCTTTCTCATGATGATGTCTTTTTAAATGCTTTTGGGTGCAGACGCAATTTGAGGTCTTTCTTATGCTTTATCACAGTAAGAATAATCTTAAAAATGCAAATACACCTTCTTATAAAATAGAAATGTAATAATATTTCAGGGTGTGTATTGTCAGGGAGAAAGGAGGCAAACCCTTTAGAATTTTGTTGGAGGCTTTCAGCACTGTCACAAATAATTATAGGACTTTTCACACATACTGGGAGATATTCTGTCCTACATACCTGTGCGATACCAATGTCATTTTTAAAAGTCTGCCATCTACAACCTCACCTCGGTATTATGTGAAAAATACGATTATAAATATCTCTGGAATCCCAAGAATTTGTTACTTTTTTGAATTAACAAATGCAGTTTTAAATACATAAGAAAAAGCACTTAGAAAGCATGTGTTCCTCACTCCATATTTTGTCTTTTTCTTCTCAGTACTCAAAGAATCCAAATGGGTTTTTAATGATTAATTTGCTACCAAATTTTTCCACCAGAGTTTAAATTAAATAATTCACAAGTTAACAAATTACTTTAGCTTCACAGGAGTCAGTATCAGGTGGGTTCTTAAGAATCTTTGTTTTTATCACTCTGAGGGGTGAGATACATTTTCTTATTATAAGACAGCTTTGTGAATTTAACTACGTGTAGGCCAGTGCTCATATTACTCAGCATCAAAAATGCTATTCATTAGAAATCACACTTTGTGATATGATATTATTGAATGTCTTACTTTGTCCAAGATCTGTTTCTCAGTCTAGAAAGATCCTTTGGCTTCCGTAGAAGGGCTATGTATTTCATAAAGGATATAATTGTATGTTTGTCTTTCTTAAGATATTGCCCTAAAAGGTCTAAATAGTCCTACTGTCATGATTTCCGATGATATAATGAATGTGACTAGTCTTATGTGGTTAAAATAGCACTAATTTTTAAATTTTTGTGCTGTAAAATATAATAGGAAAAGGGTTCTAATGCCATCTGGAGGCATTCTAGAGAACTGAAAAGGGTAGAATCATTTAAAAATTTGGTTCTTTTGAGTAACATTTGCAACTGAATAAGAATCAACACAACTAGAATGTAAGCTCTTTGGGAATAAATAATATTTTTATAAATAATTTTATAAAGGTGCTAATTATTGTAGAAACAACAATTTTTCAAATTCTCATTAACAAAATCATTTTAAAAACAGACAGATATTATAAAATATGTTGAAAAACTGCTAACATTCCACACTTAATTTTACAAATTTTAAAATTTCATTCAATACACATCCCAATTTTGTTAATGCAGTTTGATGTGCCATTAGTTCTTCTTCTCTTAAGCATTTCTAAAAAGACTTTTCTCTAAAAGAATTGGTTTCCATATGTTAGTCTCTTATAAAAATAAATATACTGTTTGAGGAATTACTTTTAAACCCTCTGGAGATGTCAGAATGTTAAAAGCTTGAAGCATCATCCCACATTCATCATCTGCCTCACATCCTGCCTCTTGAACTAGAAATAGTGAGATAAAGTCTTAGATTGAAAGGATTTCTCTTTTAAAAGTGGAGAATTCTGGGGGCACCTGGGTGGCACAGTCAGTTAAGCATCCGAATCTTGGTTTTGGCTTGGGTCGTGATCTTGGGGTCGTGCTCCACGCTCAGCACAGAGTCAGCTTGGAACTCTCTCTCCCTCTCCCTCTGCCTCTCTCCCCCCTGCTCTCTCTCTCTCTCTCTCAAATAAATAGATAAATCTTTTTTAAAAAGTGGAGAATTCTGAAATTGAGCCCTCTAAGGGTGGTTCTATTGTAATTAGGCAAGAGAAAGAGCATATTATGAACAAAGAGCAAGGACTCAGGATGCCTGAGATTTGTGTAGCATTTTATATGCTCTTCACAGTATCTTATTCAAGCTTTACTTAGGTAGACAAGTAGGGTAGGGACAATATCCTTATTTTATATACAAGGAATCTAAGGGTCAGAAAAGTCATTCAACTTAAGTGAAAAAATTAGCACACAAATCAAATATTTTGCTTCTCTACCCATTTACCAAACTGAGGGGTGAGTAGAACTTAGGAGTCAAAGCAAAGCCTTGAGTCAGAATCAAGTAGAAAAACTGATCATATTATTTGTTAAGTGGTAAGTATAATAGTTTGCTAGGGCTGCCATAACAAAGTACCACAGACTGGGTTCTTCAAACAACAGAAACTTACTGTCTCACAGTTCTGCAGGCTAGAAGTCTAAAATCGGTCAGTAGGGTTGGTTTCTTCTGTGAAGGAAGGATCTGTTGTTCCAGGCCTTGTTCTCTGTTTTACAGATGGCCATATTCTCCCTGTGTTTCTTCACGTAATCTTCCCTCTGGGTGTGTCTGTGTCCAAATTTCCCCTTTTTATAAAAATGCCGGTTATATTGGATTAGGGCCTACCCTAATCGCTTCATTTTTACCTTATTACCCCATAAAAGACCCTGTGCACATTCTGAGGTACTGGAGGCCAGAGCTTCAACATAATGAATTTTGAGGAGAAAAGATTCAATTCATGATATTAAGGTTCAGAGCAACCAGAATGATTCAGAAGCCAAGTTGGGAGAACAGAGAGTGTATAGAATAGATGCCAGAAGATGAAACAAGGTGAAAGAACCTAAGTAAAACAGACCAAAAATGATGAGTCCCCTGGGAGCTGAAGGGGTGAAGGAGCAGAGCAAAGAAAAGTGTAGATGACGTACACACAAAACATGAGGAAAGATACCTCTTTCACGTTCATGGTTTAGTGGGAAACTCAGCTTCAGTAATGCTTATACATCCATCTATCTGTATAATTCAATGACCCTGTGAGTCATTTAAAGCCATTATATGGATTTAAATTATAGTATATAAAAGGGAGTCTCCAGACAGGGGAACTCATTTCCTGAAGAAACAACTTTCCTCCCTGGCCTCTTTTAAAAGCATTAGCATTATTTAAAATGGCCAAGACATGGAAATAAACTCAGTGATCACAAATGGATGAATTGATAAAGAAAACGTAATGCATGCACATGTGCACACACACACACAGAAATATTATTTGACCATAAAAAAGAGGGAAATCCTCCATTTTTAACAACAGGGATAGACCTTGAGGGCATTATGCTAAGTGAAATAAGTCAGACAGAGAAAGACAAATGCCATATGATCTCACATATATGTAGAATCTTAAAAAAAAAAAAACAGATTGGTGGTTTCCAGAGGCAGGGGTGTGGGGTGTGGGTGAGGAATGGGCAAGATGGGGGAAGGCGGTCAAAAGGTACAAACTTCCAGTTGTAAAATAAATAAGTCCTGGGGAGGTAATGAACAATTGACTATATAGTTGACTCTAATTGACTATAGTATAGGTGGCTATAGTTGATACTCTATTGTATATTTGAAAGTTGCTAAGAGAATAGATCTTAAAAGGTCTCAAAACAAGAAAAAAATTGTAACTACGTGTGGGCATGGATGTTAACTAGACATTATGGTGATCATTTCACAATATATACATACAGTTGGCCCCTAAACAACACAGATTTATAATGCACGGATCTGCTTATATGTGGGGGTTTTTTTCATAAAATACGGTACAATACTGTAAATGTACTTTTTCTTCCTTATGATTTTCCTAATAACCTTTTCTTTTTTCTAGCTTTATTGTACAAATACAGTATATAATACATATAACATACAAAATATGTGTTAATTGACTTATTTATGTTATCAGTAAGGCTTCCAGTCACAATAGACTATTAGTAGTTAAGTTTGGGGGAGTCAAAAGTTGTACATGGATTTTCAACTGTATGGGGGTTGGGGCACTGACTGCATTGTTCAAGGGTCAGCTGTATATCAAATCATTATGTTGTACACCTGAAACTAATATATGAATAAATAAAAACAGGAGATTAATCATGACAAGTTTTAGATAGTCATTGCCTGATAGGACAGAGTTGTCTGGATAATACCTGATGATCCCCTCAAGATATAATATTTAATGATCCTATGAGTATTCATAAAGGTGAGAGGTATAATTTATTCTTAACATATACACACACAAACCCATAAATTAAAACTTCTGTGAGAGAGTTCCAGTTATGTCAATAATAGAAGAGCTTATATTAGATTAACTCTCCCTCGATAACTATTATAAACTCTGAACAAAATATTCCTTTAAAAAACTATTTGAAGGCATTAGAGGTTGACTAAAAGAAGGCAGATAATGTTGGGAATTTGTTCCTTCAAAGAAGGAAATAGACTGGTTGAGATCTACTTTTATACAGGTTCTCTCCTGAGGGCACTTTCAATCCACAAGAGGAACTAGAATTCAAGGAGAAAGCCAGCCACAGTCATGTTTGCTTGAAGTGTCAGAAGGTGGAGGTCAGGGCTGCCAGGGTAGATGGGCTTTCAGAGAGGAAAATCCAGAAAGCAAGGAACCATACAGAATAGAGTTCCACTTCTTTATATAATTTCTCTCAATCCTTGGATGACCCCTAAACTGCATATGTGTGGGTGAGATGCCAGTGAGCCCAGTGGAAAACAAAGCTGGAAAGCTGAAAAGCTGAGCAGAGATTTCAACTGCTGCCTAATGTCTACAACTACTACCTGTACAGTTTGGAATTTGAATCCCATCCAGTTATAAGAGCTTGGTAAACACCTTGAGTTTTGTTTTTTTGTTTTTGGGGGTTTTGTTTTGTTTTTGTTTGTTTTTTTAAAACTCAGAGAGGCTATGCCTTAAGAATAAAGGAGTCATCCTAAAAACTAAAGACAAAACCAAAATGGATCATTACAAAGTGTAACACTAAGTACCCCCAAGTTTCAGGCGATCAGCTAATAATTTGTCTGATAGAACAAAAAAAGTCAACATTGTTTAAAGGAAGAAAACAGACTCTAGA